TCGTAGTTGCCCAAAACAAATTAATAATAAAGATAAAGGCAAAACCTCACCTTAACACAAAAAAAAAAAAAAAAAAAGATAAAATTATAAACTTTCGTAAGTCTGGCACATAAATAAATATAAAATTATAGTTCCATAATGGATGTCTAGTAATGCTGGTACAATAATCATGTGTCAGCGCTCTATTTAATGTACATACATACACACATATGTACAATATTCTGATATTATTCCCGAAATCATAAACTTAACCGAATCGTTCGGCCAATTTTTACATGTGTCCCAGGAATTATGATAATAGCTGTAAAATTTTTTTGATGGCCCGGCCGGGCCCGCATTTAGTTTTAAATTTTTTCCCGGCCCGGCCCGCATATATATAAATTTTTTCTTCAGGCTGGCCTAACCCAGCCTAACGCGCAAAATTTATTATTAATTTTTGAAAATTTTTAGGCCAGCTCTGGCCCGCAATTGTAAAATTTTGCTTCAGGCCCGGCCCGGACTGCGGCCTCTACTATGAGTTGCACCCAATTTTTTTAATAGTAAATCGATCTCTTTTCCAATCAGATAGATAATAAGTCTTCGCGATTTATATCAAATGATAACTCCTGTTTTTAACGTTGCTCAAGATCAAACATCTGTCACGATTAATATTCGTGCACCTTTCATAAAGGTATTGTTCTTGATATATAACATGTTAAGAAAGGTTAATAACTTGTACTTGCTATTATTACTTAAGGTGACAGACATCGAACTGTATAGCGATGGTCCTGACTTTACCTTTCACGCAAAACCCTATTATTTACGGTCGGTCGCAAAAAGAAAAATAAAAATTAAATAAAATACAATTAATTCATTATATCCGATTAAAATTTAGTAAATTAAAGTTATGCCACCTCTTCTAAAGTCTTCATTTTCCAGGTAATTTAGTAGAGGATGAACGTGTTAAAGCTTCATATGACATAGCAAGTGGCGAAATACTAATGCAGATACCGAAAGAAACGCCAGGAGAGGATTTTCCGGATCTGGATTTATTGACAAAACTTTTGGCTCCAAGAAAAATTAAAGTTCCCGAAAAACCATCTATTGAGGTTGTCGGGGAGATCGATGACTCTGATGATCTTAATGATGATTTCATGAAACGATTAGTTGAGAATTTTGAAAATAATTCCGATCAAAATAAGAAATTTGATAAGCCTTTAATTCAGGTCATCGAAAAATCTGACGATCCTGAAACAGAAAAAATACGAAAGCTAATAGAAGAAGGTATGTGATAAAATTTTTTAGCATATCATAAATATAACACAAAAAAAAGATGTTTAATTTTTAATTAATAGCGGAATCTTTTGATTGGGAGTTACCGCAACAAATTCCAGACGAAAAGGTAGAGATGATATAAAATTTCATTACATTTTAATGCTCTTGTATTTCATGACGCGAGAATTTGGATTCATGACACGAAAATTTTGAATTTTCTCATCTCTTAGTATATTCTCCCAATGACTGCTAGTTATGGGTTTAACAGACTTTATTCCGGTTATTTCACGCATGTGCAAGAAACATGCAACGAAATTATCGATATAACTGGTGTAGAGTTTTCTACATTTGAATCCCGTCGTCAAGATAGAATCAATGCTGAAAATGTCAAGTTTGATCCAGATCATTATATGTGAGTGAATCTACTTATTTCTTGATACTTGATGAAATATTTTGTGGGCTCACATTCTAAACTATTTGACGTAGTGCCGATTTTATGGGTGCTCAGGAAATAAAACATCTTATAAAATACAAGACTAATTGGGCGAAACTACTTAAGCGAATACAACAGATCAATAAAAATAATGCAAGCGCGGAAGATGATAAGGTGGTTATCTCTCAATTCCTCTCAATTCTTCTCAATTTCTCACAATTTTTTTAATTCTTCTTAATTCCTCTTAACTCGTTGAAATTAATGTAATGACTCATATACCCATCATTTACCCATAATTTACAGAGTTCATGTGATACTCCAATTTTCATAACACAGCCAAAACCTGCTTCATTCACAACAAATGATGAAAATAATAAAGACAGTGTGAAATTTACCGAGAAAGAAACCTTGATGATGATGAATTTACCAAACAAAACATGCAAGTATTATTGTAAATGCAGTCATTTGATCTGAAATCAAAACTCATGAAATCAATAATCATTGTTTTCTTCAGACCTTATACAAAACACAGACGCGATATATTTTGGTTTAGTTGATCTATTATACGCCTATAGTTACAATAATAGAGTATATGAAGGCGAGATTACGGTAGAATCCGCGTGGACAATTGGAAAATTAAGTCCAATAATATCATGTCTCGAGGTTCGTAGATTTTAATAATGTTAAACAATGATATTAATGTTTAACTCATCCTAAATTTCACTTTTTTTTCAAAGGAATTTAACTCCCTCGAAGAAACAATTATTGCATTATTTCGTCGATCATTAGCGTATCCATGGCATCGAAATTTTGAATTATCAGAAAAGTGTCTTGACGACGTATATGTCCTTTTAAAATTAGGTCGACGTACCATTTTGAAAGTTTTGCTTGAAATAAAAGATATATTTGATCACCATGATGTTTATTACATATATTCCAAGATATGGCTGGATGATTATTGTATTTGGTGTCAAACTAAAGCCAAGTATGTTTTATATATGTATTAAAATTTTGAGCCTTTTCACTTTCTAAATTATTTAATATTTTAGTGATAAGGTTATTCGGTTATTAGCACATAATGTTCATCATTTCAAAGTGCCAAAATCTAAAATTGGATGGCATTTGGAGGAGTATGAACAATTAGCATTAGATGATCAATATGAAAATCAATAATTACAATTATAAGAGGTAATGCAATAATATTTATTTATTTATATTGCATATATATATTATTATTAACAATGTGATTGTAAAACAGACCTTAAAATTTCAATTAATATGCATGTTGTATATTGTATACATTGTTAAATGTAGACCCAATTCCAAAAATTCGCCAATATAGGTATGATTTTTGTATAAAAAATAAATATTTTGAAGATGAAAAATTTAAAAAAAATAATTTAGTTATTTTGAAGTGTTATTTTATGGTGATTTTATATAATTAGCTAATCAAAATTAAGCATATGATTATATAATAAGTTGTTTACTATTAACTAACTAAAATTAGTTATAAATTTTTTAAATTTTATAATAAAAAATAAATTTACTAATTTTAAATATAATTAGTTGTTAAATATAAGGTAGTTATAGCAATAGGTTGTTATTTATATATATATATTTTTTAAGATGAGTATTTTTATTGATAGTATGTTTCAGTTTTATGATTGTGTTACAATAATTACAAGGAGCAACTATAAGAAAAGTGTACAACTAGTTACTTATACAATTTTAGTTATTGTTTAGTTTAAGTAGTTTGTTTAAAAGTTTTATATTAGTTGTTATATTTGAAAGTTTTATATTAGTTGACATATTTAAAACTCATTTGTGAGTTTTTTATTTAAATACTTTGATTTTTGTATTTATTTATTTATTTATTCCATTAACTGCTTTAGTTTTTATTGATGTAAATATATTATAATTACTAAGTTTTTAAAATGATTTATTTATAAGGAATTTTTGACCTTGTACTAAATTTACTAAAGCTTTTTGTTATTTAATTTTTAGCTAATCTAATATTTTATCATAGTTAAAACTAATACATATAGTTAAAGTAATTCTTAAAACACTATATTCTTATAGAATTTATATAATTCTAGTATTTTTTATTACAATCTTATTAGTATTTTGTACTTTTTTAAAAATTTTTTTATACTAACAATCTAGTTAGTTTTGCATAATGTGATTTTATGCTTAGTTCAATTAATAATTATGTTGATAAATTTTTTTATTTAGAATTCTAGACTATATAGATTATCTGTTTTAGATTTTTTCTTTAGATCAAGGTTTTTATAAATAATATTATTAAAGATTGTATTACTTCTTTATTTGAACTTTTTTTTTTTTTTTTAATATTAAGATAAGTATATGTGATTCAAAATTTTATTGATAGTATATATTGGCTAGTATCTGTTGATATAACAGACATAAAGGCAATTATAGAAGAAGTATACAACTAGCTACTTATACAACTTTAGTCATTGTCTAATTTAAGTAGTCTACTTGAAGATTCTATACTAATTGCTATACCTAGAACCTATCTGTAAATCCTCTATTTAAACACTTTGCTTCTATATTTATTACACTCTACTAATGATTTCAGTAAACTAGTGAAGATATGTTATAGTCACTAAGTCATGCTTAACTTTATACTAAACTTATTAGAACATTTTGTATTCTATACTTACAGCTTACCTAATATTACTTTGATCTAAACTATTACTTGCAGCAAGACTAATTATTAAACTGCTATACCCTTGTAAGGTTTATCCAAAACTTCAGTACCTATTTTTCCAATATCTTCTTTATCTCTTACTGACTACTACTTAGGACTGACAGAAATTTCCAAACTTCTAATTCAGATAGTTTAATATAATATATCTTAGTATTCTTTTTCTCTAGTGATTTTGATAATCTGATTGGTTATATGCTTCTCTGCACATCTTGCTATTCAGTTTATTTGTCTATCTCTTTGGGAGTATTTTATGAGCTTTTATTAGTCTAACAATATTGTCAAAAATTTGTGCTAACTTCTTACTTGGGATTTCCAAGTAGGTTTCTGACTCTTCACTTCTTTCACTTTTTATACCCAATGGTCTTATTGTAGGTTTGCACTAAAGTTTCATGCAATACTAGTTATTAACATTTCTCTATATGAGTGTAACATTCGTTAATTATCACAACTACGACATCGTTTACTTTTGCATTTTTTGTATTCAAGTTATACTCTGTAATTACGCATCCGAATACACGTGTTCTATATGCGTGAGAACATCTGTCATTTGAAAAATATGTTCTCTTTATGAAATTATATGTATGTAAATCTTTATAAAAAATAACTTTACAAAAAAAAATGCTACACCTCTTTTAAAAATTTAAATATATGCGTGATGAATTTATGTGTGAAAAATAACCAAAATTTGATGAATAAGTCATGCGGACCAATCAAACTTTAGATTTCGCGCACATGAACCACTTATTGCACTTATAAGCCATAAACTTCGTGATTTCATCAATTTACCAATAAGTTTGTCTTACCGACATCATTTCACTAACAAAGTAATTTTGGTTATTGTCGTAAGAGTTAGGTTTAAAATTAGAGTTAAGGTTAGTATGATTTATAAAAAACTTGTTGGTAAAATATACTGACAGTGAATTGGACTGTCGGTGAAATAAACTTGATGAATTAATTGTTAGTAAATCGTACAGTTAGTAAATTAATTTTTGGTGAAATAAACCAAATCCTATTACGTATACATAGTTCATAATATACAGTCAAATATCTGCTAATAGATTTTTTTAATTATATTCAATTTTAAAAATTTATTATATTTTATTAATTGCAATTAATAAAAATTAATTTTATATACATGATATGTATTATAATAAATTATAAATATTATTTTTATTAACTGACTTAAAAACTATGGTTTATGCCTTAGTTTAAACCATGGTTATTAAGCCACAGTCTGAGCCTTAAAACCCTATTTTTTTGAGCCAAGCCAGCCATTAACATCCCTACGATTCACTGACAATCAATTCATCAACAAGTTCATTTCACCGACAGTTATTTGACCGACAAAGTAATTCTGATCATTGTCGTTAGAGTCAGATTAGAATTAGAGTTAAGGTTAGTGTAATTTATAAAAAAAAACTTGTCGGTGAAATGAACCGGAACCATATTATAATTATTATTTGATTAATAACATAATATTTTATATAAAAATTATATTAATACGTAGTAATGAAGTTATAAGAGAGTTAACAGAAAGAACATAAATATAATAATTATATGCTTAATATATATTCATAATATATTTATTAAATAATAATCATACTAATATAGATCATATGATGTAAACATATTTAGCAAAAAACAGAGGTTTCTGTAAAGTTAATTAATAAAAAATTTTAATTCAGAGTAACTTAACACATCACTCTAAGTATCTTTGTTTATAAAATAATTTACACTCACCCTAACATTAATTTTTTAAAATAAATTATGATAGGCAATATTGCTGGAGATGGTCTAAAAATTTAGATATTTTCTTATTAAAAAATAGTTTATAAAATTATATATGATTTTAAAAGTAATTCTGTGCTCACCTCCTAATTATTCAATTAATGTTATCGATAGAGAAGTTTTATAAATATAGATTATAAAATTCTATTTACAAAACAATTATACTCACGAGCTAATGATTAGAGAAATTTCATTTAATTATAGATAATAAAATTTCAATTAACAAAATGATTATGTACTCACACTCAGCTAATGATTTAATTTATGTAATAGTTTAGATAGGTTTTATTGAAGTATAAGTTATAAAAATTTCAATTTACAAAATAAATCTTTACTTACTCGCTAATGATTTAATTCATATAATCAATTAGAAAATATTTAATTACAGGGTAAAATTTCAACATAAAAATAATTCTTTACTCACCAACTGATAATTGATTCATGCAATCGATTAGATAAGTTTTATTTAATTATAAGTTATAAAAATTTCAATTTACAAAATAATCCTTTACTCACCAACTGATGATTAATTCATGCATCGATTAGGTTTTATTGAAATATAAGTTATAAAAATTTCAATTTACAAAATAATCCTTTACTCACCCGCTAATGATTTAATTCATAATCAATTAGAAAATATTTAATTACAGGGTAAAATTTCAACTTACAAAATAATTCTTTACTCACCAACTGATAATTGATTCGTGCAATCGATTAGATAAGTTTTATTTAATTATAAGTTATAACAATTTCAATTTACAAATTATTCTATACTCACGGACTAATGATTTAATTAATATAATTGATTAGAAAATCTTCAATTACAGGTTATTCAATTTACAAATCAATTCTGTACATACCAACTGATGATTAATTCGTACAATCGATTAGATAAATTTTGTTGAATTATAAGCTATAAAAATTTCAGTTTACAAAATAATTCTATACTCACTTGCTAATGATTTGATTTATATAAGCAAATAGAGAAGTTTTATTTATGTTAATTATATTTATAAATTTCAATTTACAAAACAATTCTATACTCACACGCTAATAGAGAAGTTTTATTTATGTTAATTATATGTTATAAATTTCAATTTACAAAATAATTCTATACTCACTCGCTAATGATTTAATTTATATAATCGAGTAGAGAAGATATATTTATATTAATTATATGTTATAAATTTAAATTTACAAAAGAATTCTATACTCACGGGCTAATGATTTAATTTATATAATCGAATAGAGAAGGTTTATTTATGTTAATTATATGTTATAAATTTCAATTTACAAAAATAATTCTATACTCACTCGCTAATGATTTAATTTATATAATCGAATAGAGAGGTTTTATTTGTTAAATATGTTATAAATTTCAATTTACAAAATAATTCTATACTCACTCGCTAATGATTTAATTTATATAATCGAATAGAGAAGTTTTATTTATGTTAATTATATTTATAAATTTCAATTTACAAAATAATTCTATACTCACGGGCTAATGATTTAATTTATATAATCGAAGAGAAGTTTTATTTATGTTAATAATATGTTATAAATTTCAATTTACAAAATAATTCTATACTCACTCGCTAATGATTTAATTTATATAATCGAATAGAGAAGTTTTATTTATGATAATTATATTTATAAATTTCAATTTACAAAATAATTCTATACTCACGGCCTAATGATTTAATTTATATAATCGAATAGAGAAGTTTCATTTATGTTAATTATATGTTATAAATTTCAATTTACAAAATAATTCTATACTCACTCGCTAATGATTTAATTTATATAATCGAATAGATAAGTTTTATTTATGATAATTATATGTTATAAATTCAATTTACAAAACAATTCTATACTCACTCCCTAATAATTTAATTTATATAATCGAATAGATAAGTTTTATTTATGATAATTATATGTTATAGATTAATTCCGTACTTACCGTCTAGTGATTTAATTCACATAAAATTTGTTAGAAGTTTCATTTAATTATAGATTATAAAATTTCAAATTTCAAAGAAAATAAAATCATACCCCCTAATTAATATATAATTGGTAGTGACATTTCATTTAATTGCAGATTAAAAAATTTTAAAAATTTAAATTGATTAGAAGTTTCAATTAAAATTTTAATTTTTAGATTAATTAACTTTCTACTCACATCACTAATAATTTATCAATTCAAATGTAATTAATTAGAGAAATTTATTTGATTTTAAGGATATAAATATATACTCACATGCTAAAAATATATCAATGTATATTTGATTAGAGAAGTTTTTTATATAGTAATAATAAATTGCTATAAAATTTCAAATTAATCATACCATCGCGTTCGCCTAGATCTAGAATGAGATTAATAAAATTATCACAATAGTTTTGTTTCTATAATGACAACAAACAAAAAAGGAAATGAATTATTACCATTTAGGACTGGCGAGCTTGAAACAGGTGCTAATAATTTATCAATTCAAATGTAATTAATTAGAGAAATTTATTTGATTCTATTTAAGAATATAAATATATACTCACATGCTAAAAATATATTTGATTAGAGAAGTTTTTTATAGTAATAATAAATTGCTATAAAATTTCAAACTAATCATACCATCGCGTTCGTCTAGATCTAGAATGAGATTAATAAAATTATCACAATAGTTTTGTTTCTATAATGACAACAAACAAAAAAGGAAATGAATTATTACCCTTTAGGACTGGCGAGCTTGAAACAGTTGAGAAAATAATTGCGAAGACTGCCGCTAAGATTAACAAGAGTTTAAAGTTCATTTCGAAGTCGCGAATTTTCTTTTATTAAAATTGACGGTGACTTACAGTAACTTGAAATCCATAAAAAGACCTCTTTTATATAGTTGACGCCGTAATTAACTTTCGCCTAAACTAGTGTTCCAAGTTGGTAAAAATTTTTCCAATCGACTAATCGATTTTTCCTATCATGTGACTAAATTTGTTGATTGACCGATCAACTAAAGAAATGAGTGCATGAGAGTGAAACCCCGTAACCAATCATAATAAAACATTAAATGTATTTCCGGATTTTCACTCTCACGCACTCATATCTAGATTCCATTTATTATTGATAAAATGAGTACGTGAGAGTGAAAATCAGGAAATACATTTAATGATTTATTATGATTGGCTACGGATTTTCACTCTCATGCGCTCGAAAGGATAACTAGCTGATAATCGATTAGTTGTTTCAAAATTTTCCAAATCGATTAATTGGAAAGTTGTCAACTAGTTGGTTTTTCAACTAACGATAGCCTGCCGTAACCAATCATAATAAAACATTAAATGTATTTCCTGATTTTCACTCTTACGGATATCCAGATATCCGGATAAACCGACAAATACTGTATTCGGATAATTATCTGGATATTAATAGTAAAACGGATATCCGAATAAATTCAGATCTGGGTATCCAATAGATAAATGGATAAACGGATAATGAATAGGAACTCTATCTCAGAATTTAACTAGTTGATAATTTAATCGATTAGTTGTTCCGAAAGTTGTCATCTAGTTGGGTTTTCAACTAACGATTTGGATCACTATTAATAACAGAAAAATCTTAAAAAAAATTTGGAACGTTTAGATACTATGATTAACGGTATGTCTGATATTAAAATGTTTATGTTTGAAAGACTAAATATTAATTTATTAATACTATTGATCCTGAGTTTCACCGAATACATTTCCTGGTAGAACCAACTATGCGAAAAAATAAAAAAATTAAGTATCTGCGCAACATAGTCGCGCCAAACCAGGAACGGAGGTGCATAATTGGTTGTACAAATGGTCTCATTTTATGATAAAAAATGATCGTTAAAAGAATCTAATTTATAAAATTGATCTAAAAATGTAATCGGTTTAAAATAAATCAAAAATTAAGATTCAATCTGTCCAAAGATTGTTGATATATGGTCTATACTGTTTTAAAAACTGTTAATCTATGGTCTAAGATTGAATGAGACAGTTTAGTATCAGATCTAGTAATGGGCTAAATTGATTAGAAATTAAATATTTTTTAAATTTTTTGTGAATAAATAACTCTTACATAATAATCATACGTATGAAAAAATACATAATCATTACATATATAGTAATAAATGTTATCGTATATCATAAAGAATCAATTCACTTCACCGACAGTCATTTCGCCGAAAGCTTATTTAGTTAACATCACAGAGAGTTAAGGTTAGAGTTAACATTTGATTAGGTATACGTATGAGTGCGTGAGAGTGAAAATCCGGAAATATATTAATGATTTATTATGATTGGTTACGGATTTTCAGGCTCATGCACTCATATGGATAAATAGACGACGGATTGTAACTATATTCTGAGAACAGGAAGAACCGTCAATGTTACACGGATGTTGATGTAATATCACATGTTTACCAACCAATCAAATTGCAAACATTAAAGAACCGAAAAAAAATGATTCAAAGCGAATTCAGATCTAAATATAAAGTTCAAAATAGATATTTAAATGTCTTAAATATTACGTACTGCAAATGAAATGTTTTTATAATTTATATACTCTATTTACCATTAACAGTAATCTATTTATTCATATCTATTTATTCATTAACAGCATTATTTACATTCTAATCTATATAACCTTCTATATGTTAAACACAACCTATTTTAATATTTAACCTTTTGCACATTTAACACCATATTTAATATAAATATTTAGCATGAATTTTCACAATAAAATAGTAATTATTATTCTATTAGAATATAAACTTATTATCTAAAAATTATATAAAAACGTAATAGTCGGTTAGTTTAAAAGAATTTTTTAAGATATGTATAATATATAAGAACTATATAAATTATTTTTCTTTTCAATAGTGTTTACCTTGTTAAATTATTTCTTTCAACGTTTTTGTTTTTTCACCCTTTTAGTGACGAAATTTAGTTAGTTTAATGATCTTATAACCTTCGCAATGCATTATGAAAGTTGAGGGATTAAGAGGAATTAAAAAAATGTTATAATACAGCACGAGTTTGTTTAGTGAATTAATCACGTTTCATAGTACGAATAAGTTATGTCGGCTTCCTAAAAAAGTATTGTAAAACAATATAAAAAAGTCTTTTTACAATTGTGTACCAATTTTGTGTAACATCGACGGTTCCTCCCGTTTATTCTGAGATATTCGTGTTGATTTCTTTAGTTGATTGGTCAATCAACAAATTTAGTCACATGATAGGAAAAATCAATTAGTTGCAACTATAGATCGATTGGAAAAAGTTTTACCAACTCGGAACACTACTGGCATGTTGTCGGCTAAATGAACGGTTAAATGATACGGATACAAACAATCACTAACACAATAATAGGAATATTTAAGAGTAGAGAGCACATAGATCATTTTTATATAGTGTTGTATGGTATATTAAAATTTTCATCTAAAATTGATATATGTTATTAATAAAATTTTTTATTTTGTAATTAATCAATAAAAAAAAATTTATAATAAATAAAATTATTTATCTAAGATTTTTTTCAACCTATTCTAGCTAGAAATTAGTTTGAAACAATTATCTATAGTACTTATTAGTAAATAAAAGTATAATACGTATCATATTAGGTGTTTTTTAGCAACAAAAATATAGTTTAAAAATCTTTATTTTAGGAATTTTCTTTTGTAATTAAGTTTTTTTATTGTATTTTAAAATTTATATTATAATATTATATGAATAAATAAATAAAATTTATCTATTATAAGGGTATGACAACCTAGTAAAATGAACAGATTGTCAACTTTCAAGTAGCAGATTTAGAGTTTATTAAAATTTATATTTGTGTTATGATAACTGTCTCTGTTGATCAGTTGAATTGGTGTATCTGTAACTTTCAGTTACATTATCTTGAATAGAAGCTTAGAGCATTTATGCAAAATGTAATATTATACCTATATAAAGGAATATTAATAATTAGTATTGTATAAGACTTTAGTACAAACCTATAATAAGACCATCAGATGTAAAAAGTAAAAGAACTGAAGAGTTAGAAATTTACTTAGAAATTTTGAATAAAGAGGTAGCATAAAACTTTTGATAGTGTTATTAAACTGATGAAAGTTTATAAAATATTTTTAAAAAGATAAATAGATAAATTAGATAACAAAATGTATAGAGAAGTATATAATTAACTAGGTTATCAGAATCACTAAAAAAAAAAATATTTAGATATACTATATTAGGCTATCTGAATTAAAAATCTAAGAAGTCCTATTAGTTCTGAGTAGCAGTTAGTAAAAGACAATTAAGAAAATATTAAAAAGATGAATATTAGGATTTTGAATAAACTTACAAAAATATAGCAGTTTAATAATTAGTTTTAATTGCAAGTAATAGTCTAAATCAAAGTAATACTAGGTTAGCTGTAAGTATAAAATACAGAAGTTCTAATAAGTTTTAATACAAAGTTAAATATGAATTAGTGATTATAACATATCTTTATTAGTTTACCAGAATTGTTAATAAGACATAATAGATATGAAATCAGAATATTTAAATAAAAGTCCTATAAGTGGGTTCTAAATATAACAACTAATATAAAATCTTTAAGTAAACTATTTAAATTAGATAATAACTAAAGTTGTATGAGTAATTAGTTGTATATTTTTTTCATAATTATTTCTGTGTTTATTATATTAACAGATGCTAGCCAATATATACTATTAATAAAATCCTAAATTACATATATTTATCTTAATAATTAAAAAAAACAAAAAAAATTTTATCTATTATAGTAAAATTTTAAATTATTGTATTATTTTAAAAAAAATATACTTATATATATAATAAAGTTTATTTAGATATATTAAAATTTGTTTAGATAATATAAAAATAAAAAATTTAATTGGTTAATTTATATAAATCTATAAGTTAATTTTATTATATAATTTTATATATTAATCTTTAAAAATTTATAACTTAATAAGTTTTTAATCAATTTTAATAAGTTTATTATTATTAAAATCAAAAAAATCTACTTTAGAATTTATATTTAATGATTAAAATTAGTTTACTTAATACAATTTTTATAAAATTAAATATAAAAAAAATTATTATTAAATTTATATATAATTTTAAAATACTGTCTTCTATTTTTAAAAAAATTATAATTAAATATAATTTTATCTATTACTAACATATTTGTTAATTAGAAATGATAATAAAATTAGTATTAATTTACAATAGTATAATCTATATAAAATCTAATTTTATTATAAAAATATATATTTGTCAACTCTTAAGTAGCAAGTCTAAGATTCAATTCTTACAGATAACAAAATTTAGAAATTATACCTATGCTATGATAACTGTTTCTTGTCAATTAGTTGGGTTTTGGATATCTGTAATTTTAAATACACCAAGTCAGATTCTACCTAACATTAAGAGCTCAGAGCATCTATATAAAGTATAATATTACATATATATAAAGAAATATAAAAACTAATATCATATAAGACTTTGATGTAAACTTGTGATAATACTACCAGGTGTAAAAGACTAAAAAACTAAGAAGACAGAAACCTACTTAAAAATTATGAATAAAAAGATAATACAAACTTTTGATGATATTATTGGACTAATGAAAGCCCATGAAACATCTTTATAGAAACTGTTGGATAAATCGAATAACAAGATATGTAAAGAAGCATATAACTAACCAGACCATTAAAATTGCTAGAAAAAAAAGATACATAAGTATACTATACTAGGCCATCTGGATTAGAAGTTTGGAAAGTTAGTTAGTTTTGAGTTATGGCTAGTAGATGATAAAAAAAATCAAAAAAATGAATACTAGGATTTTGGTGAACTTTACAAGAGTAATAGCAGTTTAATAAGTAACCCTAACTGCAAGTGTTGGTTTTAGTCATAGCATCAAACCAAATTAGTAATAAAAAAGAATATGACTCACTTTAGTAAGTTTGGCTTAAGAATAAAAATAGTCTAAGAATTATAGTCCTATGGTTAAAAGTAAATAGATTTGGATCAGTAATCTAATAAAATTAATATTAAAGTCAGATTAAAGAGTTTAAATAGAATATCTAAGCAGAGGTGTTAGATACAGCAACTAGTAGAAAACCTCTAAGCAAACTTTTTAAATAAATAATATAAAAAAGTTATATATGTAGTTAGTTATACACTTATCTGATAATTCAATATGAATTTGTTTATATAAAACATATATCTGACATAAGTATTAATAAAAAGTTAAGACTAAAAAGATCATCTTAATATTAAAAAAAAAAATGAAAACATATACAATAATATATTAGAACTATTTTCATATAATTAATATATAGAGTATAATCTGCATATAAAATAATCAGTATAAGAATAATAATTCTAATATAATAGTTATATTGTTATTCTCTAAGCAGTAAATTCAAAGTTTAAGTTTTACTAGTAATAGAAATTTAAAAAATAGTCTTATTCTAACAACTTGATTAAGATATCTAAAGTTGTAATTTTATAATTTTAATTGTATCAAGACTAACTTTAGAAGTATGCAATGTCATATAAATAAATCTAAAAAGTATGTATATTATAAGAAGTCTTATTTAAAAATCTTGAGTAGAAAGATAGTATAATTTTAATAACACTATTTATAAAAATTTTAGAAACCTAAAACAGATAACTTGTACAAACAAAAACTCCAAATAAAGAAATTTACTAACCTGCCTACTAATTAAATTAAATATAATGTTGTATTATATAAAGCTAACTGGATTAGAGATTAAAACAGATTATTGTAATTGGATTTATAATTAGTTTTAACTAATTATAACTTATAACCAGGTTGAACTTTTTTTAAATTAATCAATCAGTTTTATTATAACTGAATTTATTTGATTAATCAATTTTATTATAATTGAATTTATTCGATTAATCAGTTTTATTATATATAATTAATTAGTTTTATTAAAACTAAATTTATCTGATTAATTAGTTTATTATAACTAAATTCATTCAATTAATCAGTTTTATTACAACTAAATTCATCTAATTAATCTGTTTATTTTAACTATTTATCTGTTATATCTGATATTAATACTCTTTTATTATTTAATAAAGTTAGTAAAAGATGTGATCTTGAGAACTCATTTACTTGTTAGTCTAATTTTATTGAATTTCTTTATATCTTATAAAGCACTTTTTGGTTTGTATAAATATTTCAATAGCCAATATAAAATATTATACAAACAGGAAGTATTTTACAAAAAATATGTTTAATTGATTAAGAAAATGATACACAATAAATGTTTAGTTGAATTTTGATGCTATGTAAATAGATTTTAACAATTTTGCTATAATGTATTTTATTTTGCAAAAAGACTAACATTGTATAAAAAATTGTTTGTTTAGAATTAATTAGCCAAATTAAAATTAATAGACAATATGAAAAACTGTATTATAAATTGTAACATTGTGACACTATGGCATTATAGTTTACTATACAATATTTATAACTGTTTATGTAGTTAATTATATGGATAACTTATTCTAAATACATTAATCTATAATTTATATTCTCATTAAATTAATACAAAAAAACATAATTAAAAAGCTATTTAATAGTAGATTTCAATTAATTTACTTTGATTACAGTGTATTAAAAAGTCATTGAACAACTTTATATAATAATTATTTGATAACTACTATGCTTAATCACATAATTTGTTGCTTATTTGTTCAAAACTTCTGGAGTAATATTTGATAAAATTTTATAAATACTATCTAATTCTGATTTTGATATAATATTAACCAATATTAAAAAACCCAAATCTGTAATGTATATGCTTTTTAATTCATTTAGTAGTATATTTTTATGAATTGATTGAAAATCTGAAACAATACATTATAACAGAATTAACTTACCTTTTTATTCAATCTGGCTATAAATTGTAGATTATTATACAAACAACCTTTTAAAGCATATTTTATAACAAGAACGTAATCTTTGAAAGCATCATGTCTTAATATACTAAAGCATTTTTAAAAACCTGGATGTTTTTAAGACTAATATTACAATATTAAAAGAAAATAAATATTTACATTAGTCGATATATAAATAATATAATTAACAAAAATATTCGATAAAAATTATCTCTTTTATAAATTCTTTATTACAATCATTTGATTTATTTATTTATTTTTTTAACTGTAAGCAGTCACACTAGTACTTTATTAAGATTTTAAAATTATAGTTATTCCGGAGTTGGGACTTATTGACTAGCGAAGTTGGAAAAAAACAAATTTGTAATCTGATTCTAAACTTTCCTATTATTCGATCAAACTTGCCTTATTTTGTTTAAATTTGATACGTTCGATCAACGTATGACCGAAAAATTGTCCCATGTATAATGATTTGAACCGAGAACAATTTTCTTAATCGGTTAACCGAATCGAATTATTTTATGCCAACGATTCAACCGGTTAAGATTTACTTCACACTTTACCTTCGGAAAGTCTCAGACCTTTACCCAAATTTTTGACCTTTTCGGAATTCTTGATCCTTTCACCCGATTACCGATTCTCAACCGGTTGTACGGTTCAACCGATTAAGAATTTACTCAACCGGTTACCCGAAATTTATTCGGTTCAGGTCGGTTAACCGATTCTAGCCTAACCGGTTCAAATCACTACCCATGTATATAAATCCAGACCGAGAAACATATCGATATATGTTTTGGACTATTAGAATTAACCTTTACCATTTTTGAAATATTCATAGATATACTTTTTTATATATACAACACAACTAAATAACCATGCCCTATATCACCGAAGTTATGATATTTTGTCTCGTTCTGGGTGACGCAGTCGGAAGTGCTTTCGTGGTCGATATCAAAGAAGACCAGACCATATCACATCTCAAGAAGCTAATAAAGGAAGAGAAAAAAAATGCCTTTGGAAATATTGATGCCAATGACATTATGCTTTGGAAAGTTGACGGTATTCCTATCAGCAGAGAAAACCTAAAAACGAAAATACGAGCCGATATTAATATAGAACAAGAACTTGGAGGCATGATGTTGCCCCCGTCTAATACTATAAAACAATGTTTTCGCGAGTTGACTAATGACATCCAAATCATAATACAACCACCCACCACCACCGGTAAGTGTTTCCGATGTTTTACCTCTCGAACAAGAAATTTGCAGTTATCATTTTTTTTACTCGATTAGGAAAAAGGAAAGAAGGTTCGGACGAAGAAGATGAAAACCAAGGCAAAAAACGAAGATGTGTGTGCAATATATATACTGCTTGCGACATTAACTTGTAATCTTATTTTGTTTTTTAACATTCACTTTTCATTTTTGATGGTGAAGATGAATATCCTACAGAATCAGAAGAGGGCCGTGACAGCCTTATGATTATATCAGGTGAAAGGCTGAAGACGATCTCTGACTTCGTAGAAAATAACCATATTGGCCTTTTGCGCAGTCCTCCATCATCAGGCAAGAGTACTCTTGGACAGGTGCTTCGAGACTATTTCGATAGTCTCAATTATGATAGCATCTACATTAGTCTTGCTGGTATAAATGGTAAACAAGCAATCTACGACGAGGAGCTCTTCGAAAATTTCTGGAAGGAAAAAGTTGGCAGAACCTGGACAGAAATCAGTAAACGCAAAGAGGCTACTTATGTGTTTATCGATGAGATACAGGTCATCTATGGCAATGGCGCTCCATTCTTTTGGGGTAGAGTGAAGGAACTTTTGTCAAGCGAAGAATACAAACACAAATCAAATCCTCAAAATCTTCGGATGCTTTTGCTCGGTACATACCATCCAACACTTGATCCTCAAATGACACCAGTGGAATTTCATCATGCTCTTGGTTTGAATGTCCTACTTCTAAAATGGGAAGAGTTCCAACATCTTGTAAAGAACTATATTCAGTTGCATATCACTCAGGGTAGCCCACTCTTCAAAATTCCTGAGGAGGTTCAGAAGGCAGTCTTTAATCTCACTGGTGGACATCCTGGGTTGTGTCGATTCATTTTGAGAACGTTACGCAGCCACTTTCGTGAATATGAAAAAGAAATAACAGTGAAAATGTTACGATTTCTTGCTTCGACAAATCTACGAGATAGTATAATAACAACTGCACGTGCTTTTTACTGGTTCAATGACTGGAATCCAACCATTGAAGAATCTGAATTTATTCGCAAGAAATTATTTGCCTGTCAAACTAGCATTTCCTTTCCCGCTGG